CATTGTGAAGGCTTGGTTGACTACTGACGCTCTAACTACTGATGCTGATGTAAAATAAAGTTGAAATGAATTTTTGAAATGGCACATGAAATGCTGATTTCAACAGGAGAACCCTCATTCAAAACTCACTCGCTTTCTGCGTCCGCAGGGTGAGGTAGTGGGCGTTTGATTTCGATTTTGATTTCTGCCAATTCAGGATCTGCAGTCAAATCATACTTCTCTAAAACTGCCTCATCAACATCCTCCTCCGACTCCTGAAGAATGAAAAACAGGACTCCACTAAATCGGAGGCTCAGCTACAAATACTACTCACAAGACCTTGTCTTACCTCTAACCCACCTCATCCTCCTCATCACTCCCTAATTTGTATTTGCTGATTTCACCCTCTTCTTCCTCTTCCTCATCATCAATAGTAGGCTCTAGTTTCGTCTCGTATATGTCGTGACTTGGGGGAGGAGCCGAATTACGCTAAAAACAGTTCCTACAAGATATCACAATCTCCGCTTTGTACACAAGTGATGACTGATTATAGAGAAATAACAACTTACATCATCCTTTTTCTTTTTCTTCCTCCCAAACTCGTCAAATTCATCATCATGATCGCGTTTAATGTATTCGATATCCTGACGGTCATTGAATCCACCCCCATATCCTGAGTTGACAAAGATAAGATAAAACACAGGAATAGCAAAAAAAGTGGACTTACCCGTCCTTTTCTCGAGATCGGCAAGCTTGGGTGCATTGCAGACATTGCAAGTTTTCCTTCTAGCCCAGTTCACATTACCACATCTGAAGGATAACTTAGAGACAGAAATTCAAGCTTAGAAGTACTTACTTTGAACAAACCCAATCCTCGGCAGCGAACAGTCCCTTTGATTTGTCAGCCATTTCTTTGCCGATCTCTTTCCCCACACGATTCTTCGAGCGAGGCTTCGCTTAATATTTCATTATCATAGATCGAGATGAGGCATAATAAATTCCAAAAAACTGAATTACTATCTACTTTCAGCATTCTAAAATCTGAAAATTTCGG